GTGAAAGGGTTCAGAAACCTTCCAATTTGCCCCAAAAGAAGAAAATGGGTGCCGGCCTCCCTACTTCAACCCCCCCCCCCCACCCCCGCTATCAGGATTACATGATAACAGAACACTGGCTTCCCAAAGCCTTTGCTGGCTCCCTTCAGAAGACCCTAAAACTTGGGAGCGCCGAGAGGAAATGCAATCCGCTCCGAGCCTGTCTTCGGACAGCCAGACACTCAAGAGCAAGCAGCAGGACATCCAGTTCCTTCGGCGCCGATTTAATTCAGCGTCTTGTGTGAACACAGCCATTTGCCTTATTCACTTCCTCTGCATCCAAACTCATTTCTCTGTGGCGCCGAGCGAATTTAGCTGGGCTCAGAAGCAGGATTCCCTGGCTGTGCTTACAGGCACAGCTGGCCCCAGACCTTTTCCTCCTATGCGTGTCCAAGTGAAGGTGCACAAGAAGCGGAACCAGGCAAGGGTTTGGCCCGGAGGTCGCGGAGAATCCCCATGAGCTTCTTAGAACTGAAGGGTTAAGAGTCCCGACCCCATGAGCCCTGGGCTGGACAAAGGTTTCTAGGCAGCTAAGCAGGCATCCCAGACACCTTCCAGAAGGGAAATCGAGGCAGTCGCCGGGTTTCACACTATTTCCACAGGCGCTGTGTTCCCCGCATGGCTTAGCCTGCTGTTTTGGCTCCCACGGCGTTTTTGATACAGTGCAGCCCTTTACACATCCCAGTTGACAGAAAGGCTGCTTAATCCACCACTTTCATTTGCCATCTTCCAAAGAGTCCCCAGACTTCCTAAGAATGTTGGCTTGGATCGGTTCTCCATTTACCCACAGTTTTTTTATTTTTCTGGATTTGTAAGCATATTGCTGACTTCTCTTATTAAATATCTTGCCTCTAGAAGGATCACGATTCCTCCTGCAAGGGCCACACCGCTGCTTTTCCGTTTGTTCCTTCCCCCTCCCGCCAACCCGTTTACTCTTGCCTACTTATTTCTTCAGAAATGAAGAAAACGATATTTTGATTTTGTTACAGTAAATAGAAACAAGAACGAGAACAAGTCTTTGGCTGGAGAAGGGAGCTGCGGAGAGAAAGGGTGGTTGCTGAAGACTGTTAACTTTGGGCCTTCCTTAAATTGAGTCAACAATTCAGTTACCGGGTTCAAATTTAACTCCAAGCCTCCAAGCCTCTTGGTGCAGGCATAACCCCCCCCCCCCGATCACACTTAACTGCCAAGGAAACTGAAGCGGATTTGCGCGGTGTCCCACAATCAGCTCATTTCTTTTCAGGGGAAAGACCCCTTGATTTTGGTTGGTGACCAAAATGCCCTGTGGCTGCCAAGTCCAAGAGAAGGAACCCCCGCCATAGCGAGGCAGCCAGCGAGTGATCAAGGTGTCCCACGGCTGGGGCCTGAAACTCGTGTTTCTCTAGGCGGCAACCAAAGTCTTCACGTTGCTCCAAGCAGCCCAGGAGAGTTCAAACCAACCGCCCTTTTAAAATTAAGCAACAAAGCAATCGCCAAAAGTTAAATTGATTTTTATAAATTAGAGGGGGGAGAGTACAGGGAAGGGATGGACAAACAAATATTCACAATTCAATGGAAGTAAATTGTCATGGTTGATTGCAGCTCTCCACCTAAAAAAGGAGGACATTTACTGGGAAATGGGAGGAAGAAAGGCAAAAACAGGCACCAAATGGCATGAACATTCCCACCATAACGTTTTTCTTTTCTCCAAAGGCCCGAGTATAAAATTCACACTGAATATAAAAATAATTATTATAATCACAACAACAATTTTAATACAACCAAAAAGTGCTAAAATCATATTATCTCCCAGATTGCTCCCCATAACTGCGAGAAAGTCAGATCACAGGGCGGGAAGCCGCGGGGAAGCTCTCCTGCACAGCCCGGTCAGAGTGAACGGAAGACGCGTATCGCGCCGCTCGGGCACTGCCCGATTTCCTCGGAAGCGTTGGAGCAGGAAAACGGTCCGCTTGGTTGCCCTGAAAAAAACTCGATTGTTCAGCGGGGGCGGCGGGGGGGGGTCGACTCTGTTCTGGCGGCGTTCGGATAGTTTTGAAGCAAGAAAGGAGGCGGGAGACGCAGCGCCAGAAAAGCAGAAGCAGCCGGAAGAACCGGGCCTTGTCTTGGAGACAGGTCCCAAGCTTTCCCCCGACAGCGCTTCCATTCCTTCCTTGCCTCCCTCACTTCCACCCACCCGCTGGCCTTCGGGCACTGGAGAGGCTGGGATTCCGGGACCCGAGCCTCACTGGATGCCCCCGGCGGCGGCGGCGGCGGCGGCGGCACAGGCGGAAAGGGCCCAGCCCGGCAGGCAGTAATAGGGATAGTAATAAGAAGGCTGGAAGGAGAAGAGGGGAGGCGGCCGGAGCACCTCGCCCGGGTGATATTGCCTCTGGTCGTCGCGGACTAGCACCTTGACCGCCACCTTCTTGGCTGCGGGCGCGGCGGACAGCAGGTCCGCGGCCAGCTGGCGCCGCTTCGTCTTGTTGCGCCGGCTTT